CTAAACCTATAAATATATGCACGTAGATCTGTTTCCCCACATCCTTATATAAATATATTGGCATATGTACATTCCCATCTTAAAACCTCTATAAATACCCTTTGTCACCTAGTTCTTTCCTCTATTTCCTTTTACTTTCCTCTTGTCCCAGTATCATGGTCAGCCTTCATTTGGGTTTCAGTGATTTCTCTCAGTTACATTGCCCGTGCTGAATCCCAACCAGGCCTCTCACACCCTCCTTGCCAGTGATTTTGGATCACTTGTTGCTCCCCTGTCCCTGGGTTGGTCAGCACCACCAAATTACCAACCTTTGGGCTAGTAGCTGCACACAAACCACTTGCACACACACACACACACACACACACACACACATTGCTATTTAAACAATTGTGACTCATAGTAGCCCTTTGGGGCAGGGCAACTGCTCTGTGATTTTTACCCCCAGGGGATTTCTGAGGCTGTAAATCTTTAAGGAAGCTCAGAGAGCCTCATCCATCTATCTCCCAAAGAGTGATTGGTGGGTTCAAACCACTGACCTCTTTATTAACAACTGCCTACTTAACCCATTGTGCCACTAGAGCTCTTCTAAGGACCTGTCAGTAGATAAACAGGGCCATTCAGTGCTGATTTGTCGCATGTTGATTAGTTGCTGGCTAGTTTCAGGTGACAGGCTGATCCCTCCATTGTAAAATTGGGTAGGTTGGGCTTTCCTGTCCAACTCCAAGCACCTAGTGATCGGGCATCCAGGATCTCAGTGGCCCAAGGGACTCTTTCCCTTGCACAGAAAATTGACTGAACTGGCAGACAGAAGGGGTTAACTGACCTCTGTGCTTTATTGTCCTTTCAGGGTTACTTTGGGGACACAGTGATGTACTACGGCTTCTACACCAACTCTACAATCGGGCAGGAGAGCAGCAGGGCATCATACTACATGCCACTGGCCTACATCTTCACCATCGGGGCATGCTTGGTCGTCTGCTTTTTCAGTTTGCTGTACAGGTATGGAGGGTGGGCATTTCCCAGTCTCGGGCTCTTTTTAAATTGAGATGAGTCTCTATCCTTAGAGACTCACGATTTTCTCAGGTAATAGTTTCACTACAAGTTCAGCTCTCTTGTGCTGTCTGGTCCTTTCTTCTCCAGCAACAGAAAATAGAAGCTCAGGTAGAGGAAGAAAAGATCTTGTGCACCCTTAAAGAAATTGGTCAGTCTGAAAATAAAGGTGCCATGATCCAAGTTGAACAAAAGTGTGTGGGTGGGCCATGGTGAGAGAGGAGAGCCAGAACATACATACACGAGAGAGGCTCAACCTGTCTAACTGAGTGTGCGTTTTATCCTGTTAAAACAGGAGAACCTTCTTTTTTCTCTTTTTACCGTTACATCAGATTTTATTGATGGACTACTATGCATATCATTTAAATTATGGTTATCAACCTAAAAAAATCACTGTTAATTATATACCTTATTGGGAATAAATATAATTTTTGTTTTATTGACATGTGATTCACATACACTATATTTCAGTGGTCTAGGTATATTAGAGAGAGTTGTACAATCATCACTACAATCAATATTAGAACCTTTCTTCATTCTTGTACTCAGTATTATGTATCTCCCCATTTTCCCCCAACCTTCCCTGCCATAACCCTAAGAAACAATCCAGTTACTGTCTCCAGATTTACCTATCCTGAATTTCATATAAATAAAAACATAACCCTCCTCCTTCCCGACAACAGTTAAAAAGTAAAACACACTCAGAAACAGTAACAGGAGTAATGGTTCCCTGAGGATACAGGAAGGAGGTGGGGGAAAGGGGGAATAGGGAGCATATGGCTCCCCATTGATGACTGTAGAACCCCACCCGGTGGGATTGAGCAATGGAATTGTATGTAAGTGGATATATTGGGTCATGTGAGATATGTCAAAAAATTACTATAGGGAGGAAAAAAAGGTTCCTGGGGAAGGGTGGGAAAGGGAGTGGCAAAGAGGAGCTGATATCAAGGAGTTCAAGAAGAAAGAAAATGTCTTGAACCTGGTAGTGGTAGCAATTGTACAATTGTGATCGAACTACGCAATGTTGTGATATCTGTAAGAGTTCCCAATAAAATGATTTAAAAATTTTTAATAAATAAAGAATAAAATAAAACACAGACTTCAATCAGAAAGAAAACAAAAAGCAATGAAAACTAGAACAAACTTAAAATGGGTCAAAAGGAAGAACAAATGATAAGGTGTTAATTTTAACCTAACTACATCAGCTTTCATCCACTTTCCAATGCACTCTGTCTGAGAGCAAGGCTCTTCACGTCACTGGTCAATGGAGCACAGGGTTCTCTGGACGCTTCATCCATGTAGCATTGCTGCAGATGGATTTGGGGCTTTCCCTGTGATCCATAGCCCTCTGCAAACCAGGTGCTCAGGATTTAAACTTGAATACCTCAGGTCTTGGATTTTATTATTTATTATTTATTGGATCATACAGGCTGGTGTGCTTCTATGTGGATTTAGCTATCACCTCAGTTAGATGACTGCTTACTTTAAGACAAATATTTAAGACCCAATGCTATTCTTTCTGATAGCTAGTTACCTTCTGATTTCTTTGCAATAGCACCCATATCATCAATGATCTTCTCCTGAGGGCATGTATCAAGTAGGGCCACATCTTAAGAACTAGCTGTTCTCAGATGAGGGCTACATTTAAGTGTGAGTTCAAAAGTCCATTCACGTATCTATAGTTTATATATGTCCCTGGCCCACTATAGAAATATCATTATAATTTTATTGGGGAATATTATAAATCATCCTCATGGGGCATATGATAATTCTGTTGATAGTATCATTAAGTTAGCCAGTGGCATAGGATTTGAAATACTGCTTAGAAAACTAAAATATACATGATTAGGGCAGATTTTTAGACTAAAATACATGGATTATTGAGTTGTACAGATTAAAACTCAAGTGACTGCATAAACTCATTGTTATGCAAACAATAAAGGTTGTGGTTAGAGCAAAACTTTTAATGAATCTCATGAGTTTCTTTTTGTTGTCTAATGGTTCTGGCTAAAATTTTCAGCACAGTGTTGAATAGGAGTAGAGATAGGTGGAATCCTGTCTTATTCCTGTTCTCAGAGGACATGTTTTCAGTTTTTCCTCCTCAAATGTGATTCTGGGTGTTGGTTTTTCATATATGACCTTTAATGTTTTCAAGAATTTCCCCTCTATTATCTTCTATCCCTGTTTTGTTGAGGACTTTTTAATTAGAAATCAGATTAGATACTGTCAAGTGCCTTTTCAGCATCTACTGATTTGATCATGACTCTTGTTCTTTGTCTTATTTATGTGATGGATTGCATTGGTTGTTTTTCTAAATGTTGAGCCATCTTTGAATCCCTCCTATGTACTTGATCCTGGTGAATCATTTTTTGCTATATTGTTGGGTTCTATTAGATAAAATTTTTTTTGAGGACTTTTGCATCTATGTTCATGAGGTATATTGGTCTGTAGTTTTCTGTCCTTGGATCTTTGCCTGGTTTGTTATTGGGCTTATAATTACTTCATAGAATAAGTTTGCTGTTCCTTTCAATATTCTGGAATCGTCTATGTGGAATTGGTGACAGCTCTTCACTGAATACTTGGTAGAATTCCCCTGTGAGGCCATGGACTTTTCTTGGTTGGAAATTTCTTGATGACCTTCTCTATTTCTCCTTTTATTTTGAGTCTTTTGAGGTTTTCCGCATCAGTCTGTGTTAGTTTGGGTAAATGATGGATTTCTGGATATTTGTCTATTTCTTCTAGGTTATTAAATTCTTTGCAGTATGGTCTTTCATAGTAGTATGTTAATAGTCTTGTATATCATTTGAACTTATTGTGATGTTGCCCTTTGCATCTCTGATTCTAGATATTTGATCTAGATCTTTCTTTTCCTTTGTTAAATTTGCCAGCCTTCTGAAAATCTTGTTAATCCTTTCATAAGATCCAACTTCTTGTCTTATTGATTTTCCCCTTGTTTTTCTGTTTTCCAATTCATTTATTTTGCTAATCTTTATGATGTCTTCTCTCCTCTTGTTGGAGAGTTTATGCTGTTGCCCTTGTTCCAGTTGTTGAAGGTGCTGGATTAGAGTGTTGATTTTGGATGTCTCCTATTTCTTTTCATGTGTGCATTAATTGCTATAAATTGTCTCCAATAACTGCTTTTGCAGTATCCCAAAGGTTTTGTTATGTTGTGTTATCGTTCTGTGAAAGGAATTTCTTAATTTCATCACTTATTTTAGTGACTCAGTTGTTTTTAAGTAGTATGTTGTTCAGTCCCCATGATTTGACTTTGTATTCTTGGCTCATTTTAAGCTTTGTGGGGTGATAAAACTGACCAATCTCCACGCTAGTGTTCCATGTATTTTATTTGCATGGTCTCACCCAGTCATTTGGTAGGAGTTGCAAATACAAGGCTAATTCCCTGCATGGCAGATGAGTCCTGTTAATAACACCCCATGATACCCAGCTACCACTTGTCATCGAGTTCATTATTGGGTCAGAATAGAACTATGCTCCATAGGGTTTTCAATGACTTGATTTTCATAAGTAGTTTGCCAAGCCTTTCTTGTGAGGTGCCTCTGTGTGGACTCAAGCCTGTTTCCAGTTAGAAGCTAGGCTCCTCAACCATTTGTACCACCCAGAGGCTCCCTTTACCCAATGTAAAAATGTGACGAGTGAGATGCACAGCAGTAAATATCACAAAGCTGGGAAAGCTAGGGTTTCGAGCCAAGCCACCCCATTGCTAAGCTTTTGATCAAAATTGATTGCTGATTCAGGTGACAGGCTGATCCCATTGTAAAATTGTGTTGGCTGGGGGACAGACAACCAAAAAGTGGATGAAGGGAGACGTCGGACAGGGCAAGATATGACAAAATACCCATTTATAAACTATCAAGGGCTCATGCGGGAGGGGGGAGCGGGGAGGGAGGGGAAAAATGAGGACCTAATGTCGGGGGTTTAAATGGAGAGAAAATGTTTTGAGAAACGATGTACAAATGCGCTTTACACAATTGATGTGTGTATGGATTGGGATAACAGTTGTATGAGCCCCTAATAAAATGTTAAAAAAGAAAAAAAAAATTGTGTTGGCTGGGGAAAGGCAACATCTTTTGATGACCACCGTGAATGCTAGGACCTTGCTTTATTATGCCGTTGGCAATGATCCTTGTGTGTTTGGTCTCTACTTTTCATAGCATGGCCAGATATTTCCGGAACAACTTCATTAACCCCCACATTTACTCCAGAGGAATTGCTAAACTTATCTTTTGCTGGGACTTCACTGTCACTCATGAAAAGGCTGTGAAGCTGAAACAGAAGAACCTCAGCACTGAGATAAAAGTAAGACAAGCCTGCTCAACCCACTTTTCTATGGCCAGTCTCCTCCTTTGGCCAATGTATTCTTAATTTTTATAAAATAATAATGAATTGTTTTTATTGCCTCCAAACAAAAACCCATTGCCATTAAGGGCATTCTGACTCAGTGATCCTGTAGTAGGATTTCCGAGAATGTAAATCTCTATGGGAGCAGATAGCCTCGTATTTCTTCCACAGAACAGCTGGTGAGCTTGAACCACCAACCTGGTGGTTAGCAGTAACAATTATACAATGGTTCCATCAGGGTTCCTCAGTGCCACCTGGGCTCCCAGGAAATTGGCAAAAACTTTAAAATATACATAATGTGCAGTGTTGGTGATGATGTAGGGAAATGGGCATTTTTATATGGCATTGGTGGCTTTGTACAACTTTATTAAAGGGCAGTGTAGACATTGGTATCAAAAATTTTAATGTGCATAGTTCAAGGTTTAAAATTTTACCCTCAGGCATTGGTTTTCAACTGGGGGTAATTTTACCTCCCCAGGGGATGTTTGGCCATGTGTGCAGAATTTTGGGGTTCTCATACTTGTCCTAGTTGGGTAGGGTCTACTAGCGAGTACAGTTCAGGGATGCTGGTAAGCATCTTAACAAGACACGGGACAATCCCTGGCTTCTGAAAAATTATCTGAATCAAGATGTAAATAGGACCTAAATTGAGAAATTCTAGACTATAGGAAAACAAGTAAACCACAACAACAGTTCATTAAAAGGAAAGAGCAAAGCAATTCCAAGCAGAAGGCCTTTGTAAAGAGGGTGGACAATGTTAGCCTCTCCCTTGGCGTGGCTATCCAGTTTATTCTTCAGCAAAGAGCTCCATCATCTTAACGTGTCTTCCTTCAGAACATGGCCTCAATAACTAGTTCTACCTCTCCTTTTCTGCTGGTGCTGTCAGGCAAGCATTGGACTGCTAGCTAACACCATGGTCAGTGGTTCAACCCCACTATGCAGAAGAAAGATGAAGCTGTCTGCTCCCCTAAAGATTTATAGCTTTGGAAACGCTATAAGGTCCACCATGAGTTCCAGTTGACTCAATGGCAGTGAGTTTGATTGGGGGAGTCCTCTAACATGAAAAAAGGAATCCATGTGGCCCTGGGAATTCTTGGCCCCATTTGAAATTCTTCTCAGGCTCTCCCATGATCTACATCCATCAGCAAATTACCCATCTCTCTTTCCTGTGGAAGTGGGGGCGGGTTGGTATCTCTGGGCATGGTGCCTGGGCTAATAGTGGAGAGGGGTCTTTTGGTCAACTTCACTTCGTTGTGTTTGTAGGAGAACCTGTCAGAAATCCGACACGAGAACATCAGTTTGACAGTTAATCAGCGACTGCTGCGCTTGTCTGCTCACGCCGTGGCCTGGGTTGTCTCTACTGGCGTGGCCATTGCCTGCTGTGTAGCTGTTTACTACTTGGCGCTGGACAACTCCAAGGTAACTCCAGAGGGGCTGGATCACCAAGGTCCAGAGCAAAGAGAAACAGGTGAAGGGATGAGATGCTGGAGTGCCAGTGAGGTCCATTGGTACCACCTGGAAGTAGAATCTGGGAACCAGACTGAGAACCTGCTTTGTCACCAGATCACCGGGGGATGTTTGTACTGGAGTCAGGAGCTCTGTGCAAGTGGTGGGGAGGATGGGCACTTTGTAGACTTAGGATCGTGTTCTGGTTTCTTCCTCTAATATTCGGAAGGTCTCACCTAGCACTTAGCACAGAGTAGATGGATGGACTTGTTGTTAGGGGCCATTGAGTCCATTCTGACTCATAGTAGCCTGTGTATAATAGATCAAAGCACTGCCCAGTCCTGTGCCATTCTCATAGTAGTTAGGTCGGAGTCACCATTGTTGAAGTCACCGTATCAATCCATCTCCTTGAGGGTCTTCCTCTTTTTTGTTGCCCTTCTACTTACCAAGCACGATGTCCTTTTCCAAGTATTGGTCACTCCTCACAACAGGACCAAAGTACATGAAATGAAGTCTCGCTAAGACCCCCTTCTATGGAACATTCAGGCTATATTTTTTCCAAAACCGATTTGTCATTTTGGTATTCCACAGTACTTTCAATATTATTTGCTAGCACTATAGTTCAAATGCATCGATTCTTCTTCAATCTTCCTCATGCACTGCCTACCTTTCACATTTGTATAAGGCCCTGAAAACATCATGGACTGGATCAGGGGCACTTTAGTCCTCAAAGAAACATCCTTGCTCTTCAACATTTTAAGGAGGTCATACCAAGTGAAATAATTGCACAGCAACGTGACTAATACCCCAGTTACATGAAATAGTCAAATATCCAGAAACCATAAATAATCAGCGGTTACAGGAGGTAGGAGAGGGGGTTGGAGGCGAGGGAGTTTGGCTCAGGAAGCGTGGCCTGGAAAAGGACGGTGAGAACAGATGCGCAGCATGAAGACTGTAACTAATGTGACTGAATTCGTCCATGTGGAAGTTCCTGAAGGTTTGTTGGGTGTGCTCTGATCATAATGAAAGAACAAATGTAAAAGAACATTCCTTCCTCACTCACGGGAGCAGCACTAGCTAGTCCTCCAACTCGTCTCTCCTGGCGACCACAGGCCTATCCAGTCAGGAATTGTTCTTCACCTTTGACAGAGGACGGATCCAGATCTCAGGAAGCTGCGACAGGGTACTTAAATCCATTTATCCAGTTGGTCGTCCCGCGGAGGCTTGCCTGCTGCTGTGATGCTTGAAGCTGTGTCACTGGTATTTCAAATACCAGCAGGGTCGCCCAAAGCGAGCAAGTTTCAGTGAAGCTTCCACTCATGGTGACACTGTAGGACAGAGGAGAACTGTCCCATGGGGTTTCAAGGTGGACATCTTTAGGGGAGGAGTCTTTTTGGACTTAGTCTTGGGCTACCGACCCCAAAATCAGCGGCTCAGACCCACCAGCTCCTCCAAGGGAGAACGATAAGGCTGGCTTGTTCGCTTTGGGCAACCTTGCTGGTTTTTTAAATACCAGTGACACAGCTTCCAGCATCACAGCAGCAGGCAAGCCTCCACGGGACGACCAACTGGATAAATTTTCTGATGACCTATAGTCTTGGAGACCCTCTGGAGCAGTCCCGCCATGTCCTATAGGGCCACTATGAGCCAAAATCAGCGGCTCAGACCCACCAGCTGCTCCAAGGGAGAACAATAAGGCTGGCTTGTTCGCTTTGGGCAACCTTGCTGGTTTTTTAAATACCAGTGACACAGCTTCCAGCATCACAGCAGCCGGCAAGCCTCCACGGGACGACCAACTGGATAAATTTCCTGATGATCTATAGTCTTGGAGACCCTCTGGAGCAGTCCCGCCATGTCCTATAGGGCCACTATGAGTCAGAATTAACTCTGTGACAGTGAAATTTTTCATCCTCATGCAAGCAGACTGCCACATCTTTCTCTCACAGAGCTGCTTGTGGCTTCAAACCGCTGATCTTTCAGTTGGCGGGCAAGCGCTGAACCCCTGTGCCACCAGGACACCTGAGATGGAATTACTTCCCTTTCTTTCGCAAGCCTCCACTCTGTGCCAGCCAAGGCCAGTCTGGTGCCCAAGTCCAGAGGTCACCATTCATTCAGTCCTATAACCTAATGTAAAGGGGCCCCACTGGGCCTGGCCTGGTCTCATTTCATTCTTGCACCATCCAGTCCCTGCCCCTGCCCCTGTGGGTCCTGATAGTGTCCCCAGTGTGCAGATGGGAAGGGAGGCACAGAGGGGCTGAGCGTCTGGCTCCAGGCATATTACCGCCTGTAAGTGTGTGTGTGTGTGTGTGTGTGTGTGTGTGTGTGTGTGTCCAAAGACAGGACCCAGCATATTGCCGCCTGTAAGTGTGTGTGTGTGTGTCCAAAGACAGGACCCAGCATATTACCACCTATAAGTGTGTGTGTGTGTGTGTGTGTGTGTGTATGTGTCCAAAGACAGGACCCAGAGTGCCAGTGGTACTTCCCACACAGAAGTTGGGGGGCAGTCAGGCTGGCAGGCTGTGAAACAACGCACAGGGGCATCTTGCCAGGCCTCTACTCCCCCTGAAAAAAGAGTCATGCGTGGGCTGGCAGAGGTGCCCCTGCCCCCTCTCTGGCGCTCAACAACAGGTAAAGCCTGATGGCCGGGAGCCAGGCCACTTAGGAGAAGGGGAGAGTGACCCGTGGGCAGTGGCTCCAGGGGCCAAGCTCACCATCCTGGGCCTCGTGGTGGGGAAAGTCGCTCACAGATTAGCTGTTTGGTTGGCCTGGCTTTAAATGTGCCACCTCCTGGCGGGAGGATCCCGGACCACCCCCTTGCCTCTCTCTGCCTGTTTGCCCATTGGTGAAGGGACGTCTATTAACAGGTGAAGGGAGCCCTGATGGCACAGTGGTTAAGCGCTCTGCTGGCAACCAAAAGGTCAACACTTCCACCAGCCGCTCTCTGTGGGAGAAAGGTGTGGAATTCTTATCTCAAGAGGATGCCGCCCTGGAGACCCTATGGGGCAGTGTACTCTGTCCTGCAGGGTCGCTCTGAGCCGGCATCCGCTCTGAGACGGCACACACAGCATTGGCCCGGACTGACTGGGCTTTGGCGAGGATGAAATGCCATGTGGGTGGAAGTGGCACAGGGTCAGGGCACCAGGGGCCACTGGTGGGTTCCAACCACCAAGCTCTAGAGTCGAAGCCAAGAACAGATAGTGACACCACCAGGGGACCGCCAATCAATGGTAGCTCACTAGTGAGCCCACGATGTTTCCCAGGTGGGGGTCTTGCGAGTGGGGCAGGGAGCGAGTGGTTCCGGGCAGGGTCAGCATCTCCGTCCGCCCCCTCCATCCCCTGCAGTTCCTGAATAAGCACAAGGACCCCGGGGCCGTGCTGCTGCTGCCCTTCGTCGTGTCCTGCATCAACCTGGCGGTGCCACGCTTCTATTCCATGTTTGGGCTGGTGGAGAGGTATGAGATGCCCGGGCACGAAGTCTACACGCTCCTGATCCGGTAGGTGCCCCTGCCCGGCCAGGCGCCGCTTTTTTCTGCAAAGTGACAGAGAGCTTGAAAGGGGTACAGCCTCATTGCCAAGTCCTCTTCTCCAGCAAGAACTTGAGAGCAAGCTGTGTCTGAGTGGGGTGGGCTAGAAGCCTCACCCAGAGGCCTGAGCCGTTCCCAGAAACTACAGCTGTGGAATTCCTCTGCCTTTGGCTCAGCGGGATAGGGCTTCCCTTTCGCAGCTGCTGTCAGTGGAGGATTCTCCGAGTGCTTCCAGGAATGAGCCATACCGTTCCTCGTTCCTCGGGTAGTGCACTGCACAAAAGCTCCTGGCTGAGGAGTTGTGTGGAGACTGAAACCCACCCCATTTCCATCGCCAAACTGTGAGCCCTGGAACCCGTTGCATTTGTATGTTCAGGGAAACAGGTGTTATGGGGGAGGGCCTTTGGCTGGAAGGGGACCTCCCTTCTGTCGCTCCCGCAAAGGTACGGTATGTGCTACAGGTATAGCCATAAGTGTGGGACTATCCAAACCTTCTCCCCATGTCTCTTCCTGCTAGTTCTTGGCTATGGTGGGTGTATCATGACACCAGACCCCCAAGCAGGAGCCTTCGTGGTTTCTGTCTCATGGTGGCCCCGTGTGTCTGTGCAGAAATGTGTTCCTTGGGCTTTTTAAAAAAGAGTATTTTATTGTGTTTTTTGGTCCACATCACAGTTCAGGGCCCCATTTGGCGTTTCTACACCAGTTGTTCAGGGGTGTTGGTTACATTCTTCACAATGCAGGAGCATTCTCCTTTCTCTTCTTTATTTTGTTTCCATTCCCTTACACTCTCATCTGTGTTTTAAAGTACGTGTTGACTGTTTGGGCATATATTTGTGACTCTTTTCCAAAGGAACTGTGTGAAGTTTGGGTTGACGAGAGAAACAAATTCATAGAGACACCCATATGTGTATAAGAAGAGCTTTATATAAAGAGTAAGTGTACATTAAGAAAACATCCCAAACTAATCCGGATCAAGTCCATAAGTCCGATATTAGACCATATGTCTGGTACCAATCTATAAAGTCCTCTTCAGACTCACGAAATATATGCAATGACGCCAAATGCAGGAAGATTACAGGCCTGTGGGTGGGAAGTCTTGTGGATCCAGTGGCATTGGAAGCATCTCAGCACTGGCAGGGGTCTCCACGTGACTCCTCCAGTTCAGGGCACTAGTATTGCTCCAAGTGTCTTGTCAGCTGCAATGTCTTCCAGGGAGTGAGCCTGTGTCCTGCCTCCAGTGAGCTATTTATCTCCGTAGCGCCTCCCAATGAGGTCATCAAGCTGCAACCTGATTGTCAGGATAAACTCCACCCTTTCACTCAAATACTCTCAAATTGACAACAGATTATGTAACTACCACAGGAGCACAGTTCTAAGAGATGATATTCATTATCTCCTTAGCCAGCTTGTTATCTGGCTACAAGGGTCATAAGGGTTAGTTTGGGTTCAAAGTTTGAAGATCATCTCAAGGCAGTAGTCTTGGGGAGTCCATGAATCCCAACTAGTACAATAAATCTGTTGGAAGTGTGTGTGTGTGTGTGTGTGTGTGTGTGTTTGTGTGTGTGCTTTTTTAAAAGGAAATAAGGCAATTTGAGGTTCTGTTGCACATTTTCCTCCCAGTCTATCAGGGTCCATCTCTTGTTGCCTGATTGGAATAGTTGGTCGTGGTAGCCGGGCATATTGAGTTCTTCTGATCTCTGGGTAGATGAGGTCATGGTTCGTGTAGACTATTTGTTCTTAGACTAATTTCTTCTCTGAGTCTTTAATTTGCTTCTTTCTTTTCTTTTCTATTTTTTTTTTTTTGCTCCAGATGATTAGAGACCATTTGTTTTATCTTAGATAATCCATAAGGTTTCACTTGCTAAAATTTAAAAAGTGGATCACCACGTTTTTCTTCAAGACACCGCCGAGTAGACTCAAAATTCCCACGGAGTGCACTGACAAGGGGTACCACTCAAGGACTTCATGCAGTAAAGGCGATTGATTTTGAGAGCCTTATTTCTTGGTTAGGCACTGGACAAAAGTTTGGGGCTCTGGCATTGAACAAGACCCATTTAGTTCCTTCCTTCGTGGAAGTTAAGAGTTTAGCACAACGGTTCTCAGTCTTGAGTGTATCAGCATCACCTGGAGCGCTTCGCCAAGCCCAGCTTGTGAGGCCCCACTCTCAGAGTTGCTGATTCTGTAGTCTGGGTGGAGTCTAAGATTCTAACAAGTTTCTAGGTGGCGCTGATGCTGTTGGGCTGGGTATCACAATTTGAGAATCACTAACCTAGTGGCAAATACTTCTTGGTTGGCCTGTGACAGAGCTCTTTTAAGACCAGCAGGTACCAAAAATAAATAAATTAATTTAATTAAACCAGCAGGCACCATCCAAGACCCAACAATTGGTCTCTATTTGCCTGGAGAAGCAGAGAAAGAAGGAAAGTCAGGAATGGGAAGCTCGGAGCTAGGTGGCCAATTGCCTCCATAAACAACTAATGCCTCTTTTCCCTGGAGACCAGAACCAGAGGGCAAACAGTTACCATGACTTAACATTTGGATTAACAATTCTATAGAAAAATCCTGATCAAAAGGGGGGGGGGGAATATAGTACAAAGTATCAAATTCAGGGACTTTAGACTTTCTGGAGACTGGATAAGCCCTGGACACCTCAAACAAAAAATATCCTTGAAGTGTTCTTAAATCCAAGCAATAGAACTAGTAAAGAATCCTGCCGTGAACACTGTTGTTCTCTCAAGATCTTTCTCCAGGGGATCTAATTGACATCCACTGGAAATATGAGAGGAAACATTAGGGGGTGATGAGGGCATGTTAATGGGAAGGAAGAGCTCAGAAAAGAAGGATGAGAACGGCTGCACACCTGGAAGAATGTCACAGTGATGTGTGGAAACTGTTACATGGGTGTGTAATATGATGTGTATATCTCCAACAACAGCAAGATACGTAAAGAAGAAGAAGAACCCAGTAGGTATTGAATTAAGCAAACTGAGCATAAAATCCTCTACCTGGATAGAGTTATGAAACAAAAGTGAGGACCATTAAGAAGTGTTTAATAGCATGTATACTGTGCATGCTCAGCACTCAGTAAATGCTCCACGTGCTGACTATTATCACTCCGAGGAGGAGAACCAGAGAGCTTAGAGATGCGCCCAAAGAAAGTGTACCTGTCAGAATAAATTGGGCTATGCTGTGAACAGACACCCCTCTCCCCTTAATTGTGGTGTGCTCTGTTACATAGCCATTGTGGATTGGCAGGGGGTCTGCTCACAATGGTGGTCTCAGGGGTTCAGGCTAAGGAAGCAGCTATGCTCACTCTCCAGTGTTGCCGATCTCCATCCCAGAGGGAAGAGCGTGAACTCCGGAGGGTCTCACGCTGGCATTTAAATGCCCCGGCCTAGAAGTGACACCAGGTGACACATGTCATAACTCATTCGCCAGAGTGGTGACTTGCAGGAAACCTGGGCAGACAGCTCTATGAGGGTGATAATCATTGTTTTCTGTTATTCAGAAACATCTTCCTGAAAATATCCATCATTGGGATCCTGTGCTACTACTGGCTCAACATTATGGCCGTGTCTGGTGAAATGGTGAG